TTTCAAGCATTTACTTTCATTTATTCTCAATATACACATGTGTGGAGAAAACAAACAGATAGACATAGGAGAGTGTTCACACGCAGTACGATCTCCAATGACGAAAGGGTAACCTATGATCGACAACCGTTACTTTAATCTACATTCGTCACATGGATCTATCTACATATTCGTTTGTCTCATGAATTCATTGATATTAACAACATAGAAACTAAAAGCGTTAGCGCATTCCTTGCCTGTAGCAGATTGAGAGATTCTAGACATCTGCTCATGCATTTAAGTTTGTTCTAATCTTTCTCTCCAATAAAACTAGTTTCTTTCTCTGCTCACTCAGTTCACAACCGACATACAACATGTTTTCTAATAAAGTTTCTGCGATCTCTCATGTAACCTATCGTTCAATATACTTCAGCCTATCTTCCATCATATTTTCTACTCTTTCAGTCAAAATCTGATCAGCCTAATCCACCACAAACAACTGGTAGCCAATCAGAATCACGGTAAAGTATCAGATGGGTTGCGAAACGGGAGCAATGTCTTTCTCTTTTTTTTGTATTTAGTTGTGAATACTGTCGACGAAAATGGAAGAAGATTCTTTTGACGAGTCTAACAACAGCACTAATTACGACCATAGGCGTTATCGTTATAATGATTATGGCAAAGAAAAACTCAGCTCGACCTGCTACTACCGCAAGATCGACAACGACAACTGTTACGATGATAACAACAACTATTACGGCGACAACCACTACTGTTATGAGGAGAACCACTACAACCGTTCCCATGAAAGGTCTGAACATCTATTCATTTTGTGTACACGTATTGTATAGCTATACCCTAGTGCGAAAAAGCTTTCAGCGCAATCCATCTGGAGAAATTTTAAGCGCATATACTGGTCGGTTTATTTCGCAGTCTGCATGCCTATTTATCTAAACTTATGCTGTTGAAAATAACATATGATTGTCAATAGCGATGTCCGCTGCTTTTTAAAAACTTTTTGCTTCATCAGTCACAAATATGTGATGCTTCTTACTGCACTTCCATTAGCCGTTCACGGTCTGTGACGCGATTTACGCGTGTCAGTGTAACGAAGTTGAGAAGGAACCTGTCTGTGAGACAATGACACATAGTTTATTTGGATTTTCTCCTAACAAGCTCTCGAGGGTTTATCATTTTCCACAAATCTGGTTCCCAGAATACATCCACAACTAAAATCCACAATTGTGGATAAATATCCATGATTCCATCTAGCCGTGAATAATTAGGGATTTTAANCACTTCCGTCTCTCTCGTCCTACATAAGTGTTCGTTGGAACGGATCCATTCTTCTTTTAGCCAACAGAAGACTTTCTACTAGTGATGAAATCTTGTCGCATACTGTTGCTAACAGACGAACATACTCTGATCGATTCTGCATACGTTCAGCTAGAGTATCAGATAATAATAGAGAAACATCAAAACGTAGTGCATTTCAGGTATGTGCAATATAGAGAAGACTAAGATGAATTCAATAAAAGAATGTGCCACCATTGCACATTCATTTCTCAGTTATTGACCGGATTCATCAGCAACACAATCATTCAAGGTACAGAAATCATCTATAGTGAAAGGAAATGTCTCACCTGTCATATTGCATATTTGAATCGTACATCGATCTGGAAATGCTGTCTGTTTTCGTTATTGTATCAATAGATGATCTGTATGACATCGATCACCATGCAATGATCTCGAAATCCTACCACCTATCTAGATAACTTGCCCTTACTAAAAGTCAATTCTTGTGCTTCTAAATCGAGACAGATGCGCGCCATAACCATGAGATATAGTAAGTTTACTCTTTGTTGAACGACGTTTTTTTAACCTTTATTCGATAGTACTTCCCAGCTGTCCATTGAACACGAAGTTAGGTACTTCGTTTGCATTGAACGTCTACAGTTAAATCGCCCATTTCATTTTTTCGAAACACACTCCACGATGAAACCTGGCATATTGATGTTATCGTCCATCAATTGCACAGTTTCATCATTTACCAATAGTGCTCAAATTTTTTCACAGAGCTCGATCTGTCTTCCAACACATATTTGCAACACTCACGAATATCTCATGTGCATATATTATCATCAATTCTTTTCCCCAATTGTGACGACATTTCAAATATCGAATCCTCGGGATAGCTATTTACTCCTCTTGATCGTCGAACGTAGTCAATTTTAGACAATACATTCTATTCCCTGTTGTTGTGCACATGGCGACATTCGTGCCAATCCACAGAGCGATTCCGCCATTTTATCTAAACACGCTCTCGTATGTCTCGAAATCCAATTCCAACACAATCTCACGTCTTTTGACAAAATCGCGTTCACTGCTCATCATTAGGTCAATTAGATGCGAATCTACCTTTGACATGTTTTCACTCATGCTCTGCGCAATACCCACAGAATCAAAATAAATCCACAAATTGTTTTATTTTCAGCAGAAGGTACGACGCAAAGGAAATATGTGTTTCAAGCATTTACTTTCATTTATTCTCAATATACACATGTGTGGAGAAAACAAACAGATAGACATAGGAGAGTGTTCACACGCAGTACGATCTCCAATGACGAAAGGGTAACCTATGATCGACAACCGTTACTTTAATCCACATTCGTCACATGGATCTATCTACAGATTCGTTTGTCTCATGAATTCATTGATATTAACAACATAGAAACTAAAAGCGTTAGCGCTTTCCTTGTTTGTAGCAGATTGAGATATTCTAGACATCTGCTCATGCATTTACTTTTGTTCTAATCTTTCTCTCCAATAAAACTAGTTTCTTTCTCTGCTCACTCAGCTCACAACCGACATACAACATGTTTTCTAATAAAGTTTCTGCGATCTCTCATGTAACCTATCGTTCAATATACTTCAGCCTATCTTCCATTGTATTTTCTACTCTTTCAGTCAAAATCTGATCAGCCTAATCCACCACAAACAACTGGTAGCCAATCGGAAACACGGTAAAGTATCAGACGAGTTGCGAAACGGGAACAATATCTTTCTCTTTTTCTTGTATTTAGTTGTGAATACTGTCGACAAAAATGGAAGAAGATTCTTTTGACGAGTCTAACATCAGCACTAATTACGACCATAGGCGTTATCGTTATAATGATTATGGCAAAGAAAAATTCAGCTCGACCTGCTACTACCGCAAGACCGACAACGACAACTATTACGGCGACAACCACTACTGTTATGAGGAGAACCACTACAACCATTCCCATGAAAGGTCTGAACATCTATTCATTTTGTGTACACGTATTGTATAGCTATACCCTAGTGCGAAAAAGCTTTCAGCACAAACCCTAACGGGATTAAAAATGTGAAACACGATCCACCTGGAGAAACTTTAAGCGCATATGCTGGTCAATTTATTTCGCAGTCTGCATGCCTATTTATTTAAACTTATGCTGTTGAAAATAACATATGATTGCCAATAACGATGTCCGCTGCTTTTTAAGAACTTTTTGCTTCATCAGTCACAAATATGTCATGCTTCTTACTGCGCTTCCATTAGCCGTTCACGATCTGTGACGCGATTTACGCGCGTCAGTGTAACGAAGTTGAGAATGAACCTGTCTGTGAGACAATGACACATAGTTTATTTGGATTTTCTCCTAACAAGCTCTCACTCTTAGGGATGCACCAAATCCAATTCCAGTCAAATCCAAATCCAATTCTAGAGTTGGATTTGGATATAACTAGATTTGGGTTTGGATTTGATCAGGTTTGACTGATATGGAATGTTTATCATTTTCCACAAATCTGGTTCCCAGAATTGTGGTGCCCAGAATCGATCCCAGAAAAAAGTTCCGAAATATTTCGGGACTTTTCCTGGGACCGATTCTGGGCACCACAATTCTGGGCAAATGATAACCTACGAAATAGAACTGCGATCACTGAATGACATGAATCTGGTCACCAGCTGCTTAAGTAGTAATCGAGTCACTGTGTTACATGAATCTGGTTACCACGTCCCTGGATAGAATCGCGATCATTGAGTCGAATGAGTTTGGTCGCCAGATCCTTAAGTAGGAGTGTGGTCACTGTATCAAAGGATTCTGGTGTCCAGATAGGAGATTGAAGATTGGTCTATATGGTGGGTCACAAATGGTTTTCACAAAATTTCCCTAAATTGTGAAATCCACGATTTAAAATCCCTAATTATTCACGGCTAGATGGAATCATGAATATTTATCCACAATTGTGGATTTTACTTGTGGATGTATTCTGGGAACCAGATTTGTGGAAAATGATAACCTACCAAATAAACTTGCCATTTTTTACGAGTCTTTCCAGATTTTTGTCTCACAAAAGGTGAAATACCTATTTTCAAATTCACATGACAGTCTGATTCACTCTTACTGATTCCAACATTGCAACTTATCGAATGTATAGAAAATCTAAAGCTTTGACAAGATTTGATAATCAAATCCAAATCCAAATCTGTTCAAATTCAAATCTAGTCAAATCCAAATCCAGCTCCACTCAATTCCAGTCAAATCTAAGATTTGGATTTAATTGGAATTGGATTTGGTGCATCTCTACTCACTCTTCATTTTTTAGGTGCACGTCTTTACAGAAAACAGTGAATTACGGTCAAGTATAGTAACAACTCCAGGACAGACGGATTATAGGTTACATGCGTGCCAAAAGGCAGGCGGCAACAATAAGTCCCCTTAGACTCCGTAATGATCTACGGGATAAGGATTAGCGAGCGAAACATCCCGCTGTCTTCCAAAATTCTTTAACATCTTTCTGCGAGTCCTGTCTTATAAAAAGAAAGGAACAGTTAGCTTAATAGCAAATACGTCCGCTGTAGATGTTTCTACTGCAAATAGAGTATTAAACCTATGAATCTTAACTAGTAGTAGTTTGCACTGTATGACCTTTACTCTCTATATAAGGTAGACTATTACAGCGCACCTATATGTAGTTAACCGCTTATGCCTAATGACCTTTGAATCGTTTGGTCGAAGTATGAATTTCGTAACGGTCTGTGACGAGACTCAAATATGTCGGTCCCGGTCTGTGGGGGGGGGGGGGGNCGCCACTTACGCCGGGGCGGCGGGGCGCGGGGGGGGGGGGGGGGGGGCGTGGTCAAAATGTTCACCCTTAAATACTTCAACACTCTCCTTCGGATCGTGTTTCACAAAAGGATCAGATTCCTCTCCGTAGAGTTCGTTCGAGAAAAATAATTCTTTGAATGAGCATCATTTGACAGTGTGAGATGTGTTTAGGATGGAAAACGGCAGCAGAACTAAACATCAATCGGTATTGGCATACTGCAACTGTATTGCAGAATGGACACGTATTGATCACTGGTGGACACAGTGACAAAGGAGTTCTTCGTGAATGTGAACTATATGATCCATCAAGAGATCAATGGACACTCGTTGGAAACATGTCTGTCGCAAGGGAATATCATACCGCATCTTTGTTGGATAATGGCTTGGTGCTAGTGACTGGTGGTGGAAACCCTGGCATGGCTATTTCAAGTGCTGAACTGTACAATGGATCAGCGAATACGTGGACAAAGGCACAAAGCATGATCAATCACCGATATCAACATACAGCCACTGTGCTGCAGAGTGGAAAAGTGCTCGTTGCAGGTGGCCGGAGCAATGGAGGAATATCTCACGATACTGCCGAACTATACGATCCTCAGACAGGTGTTTGGACAGCTACTCAAAACATGATCTGCAGTCGTGAAGATCATCAAGCATCGTTGTTAACAAATGAAAAAGTACTAATCACTGGTGGAGTCGGTTTGTGCTTCATAGGTATATCCCAAAAGACGAGTGAGTTGTATGATCCGATAGCAGGTAAGTGGAACAGAGCGAATGACATGAGCATTGATCGCATTGAACATACTGCAACTGTACTCCAAGATGGAAGAGTGCTGGTAACTGGTGGACACGGTCCAGTCGGAGTGATGTGGAACTCTGCTGAGTTGTTCAACCCATCGACGAATCAATGGAACACAACACGTAGTATGAACACCCCACGCTCTGCTCATTCAGCGACTTTGTTACCAAACGGAAAAGTATTAGTCGTTGGCGGATTCTCCAGTGCCTCTTCAGACAGTGCTGAACTGTACGATCCATCTACCGGCACTTGGACGGCCACTGGTAAGATGAAATATCGTCGCTCTTATCATACAGCATCTTTGCTGAGTAATGGAGAAGTCTTGGCTGTTGGCGGATATATCGGTCCTCAGAATGGAATTACAGAAATATACTCTAGTTAGATGTAACTAGTCGAAATTTTCTCGTGAATAATTCGTGTAAAGAGAAGGAAAACTGTTATGTGCAAATAAAAACTCGAGAAATATGATGAAAGTGGTTCGTTCTTTAGTTAATCATAGAAAAATGCAATTCTTCAATCAGAAGCTTGGAATTCAGAGATTTCAATCTCCTTCACTTCTGCTTTCTCTCTTACTCGTACTCTTACTTTATACTGTAAACGTTGACCTCGAATACAGCATCGAAACTCCAGAAATGACCTATGCTAATCCGATAGTGTGACAAATGAAGTATAAATGAGCATGCGTAGATACTCCAAGACACAAAATCAACGAGAAGATAAACTTTGTCGAAGAAATCGTAGATGTCCGTATATAAACCTATGTGAAAGCATTTCATCCGAATTGAGCAGTTATCCTATTCAAAAATTTCCCTCTGGGAATTCGATCGATCATTCACGATGATGGAATGTTCTGTATAAACAAAGATGCAATTCTGGGATAGACGATATTCTCATTTTGATCTTATCGATTATTGTTTTTCATAGCTTTCGAAAATATCAAATAAAAATTGAATTTTCTTATGTTGTATATCAAAATATTAATTATCATTTATACGGAAGACTNAAAAAAGTTCCGAAATATTTCGGGACTTTTCCTGGGACCGATTCTGGGCACCACAATTCTGGGCAAATGATAACCTACGAAATAGAACGGCGATCACTGAATGACATGAATCTGGTTACCACGTCCCTGGATAGAATCGCGATCATTGAGTCGAATGAGTTTGGTCGCCAGATCCTTAAGTAGGAGTGTGGTCACTGTATCAGAGGTTTCTGATGTCCAGATAGGAGATTGAAGATTGGTCTATATGGTCGGTCACAAATGGTTTTCACAAAATTTCCCTAAATTGTGAAATCCACGATTTAAAATTCCTAATTATTCACGGCTAGATGGAATCATGGATATTTATCCACAATTGTGGATTTTACGTGTGGATGTATTCTGGGAACCAGATTTGTGGAAAATGATAACCTACCAAATAAACTTGCCATTTTTTACGAGTCTTTTCAGATTTTTGTCTCACAAAAGGTGAAATACCTATTGTCAAATTCACATGACAGTCTGATTCACTCTTACTGATTCCAACATTGCAACTTATCGAATGTATAGAAAGTCTAAAGCTTTGACAAGATTTGATAATCAAATCCAAATCCAAATCTGTTCAAATTCAAATCTAGTGAAATCCAAATCCAACTCCACTCAATTCTAGTCAAATCTAAGATTTGGATTTAATTGGAATTGGATTTGGTGCATCTCTACTCACTCTTCATCTTTTAGGTGCATGTCTTTACAGAAAACAGTGAATTACGGTCAAGTATAGTAACAACTCCAGGACAGACGGGTTATAGGTTACATGCGTGCCAAAAGGCAGGCGGCAACAATAAGTCCCCCTAGACTCCGTAATGATCTACGGGATAAGGATTAGCGAGCGAAAAATCCCGCTGTCTTCCAAAACTCGTTAACATCTTTCTGCAAGTCCTGTCTTACAAAAAGAAAGGAACAGTTAGCTTAATAGCAAATACGTCCGCTGTAGATGTTTCTACTGCAAATAGAGTATAAACCTATGAACCTTAACTGGTAGTAGTTTGCACTCTATGACCTTTACTCTCTATATAAGGTAGAGTATTACAGCGCACTTGTATGTGTTGAACCGCTTATGTCTAGTAACCTTTGAATCGTTTGGTCGAAGTATGAATTTCGTAACGGTCTGTGACGAGACTCAAATATGTCGGTCCCGGTCTGTGGGGGGGGGGGGGGGGGGGGGAGACGCAAATTCCCCCCCTAAAAG